CATCTCATGCCTCTCTCACCGCTGCTCTTTATTCCCCCCTCTCTCTCTCTCTCCATCGCTCGCTCACTAGATCTAAATGGCTTCACCCTGACAACTTTCAGATTCCTTTCAAGTTTGCCTTTCTCTCTCTCTCTCTCTCTCTCTCTTTCTCTCTCTCACTCTCTCTTGCAATCTCTCGCATATACTCTGTCTCTCTCTATCTCTCGCAAGTACTCTGTCTCTCTCTATCTCTCCCTCTCTCTCTCTCTCTCTCTCTCTCTCGCCCCTCTCTCCTCTCTCTTTCTCTCTCTCTCCTATCCTCGCTCTCTCTTTCTCTCTCTCGTCTCTCTCTCGCTCTCTTCTCTCTCTCTCTCTCTCTCTCTCTCTCTCTCTCTCTCTCTCTCTCTCCCCGCCCCCCTTCTGCGCCCTCTCTCTCGCTCACTAGAATCTAAATGGCGTCACCCGCACGCATCTTTCAGATTCCTTCCGGGTTGCCAAGGAACCTGGAGGCTGCGTTCAGCGGTACGGGTCGTCGTCCTACAAAGCCGGCAGCCATCACCTCGTTCAGACCCCAACGGGAAGACAATCCATCACAGTAAACCTATGGTGCGTACTCACTCGCTCGTTAGCAGAGACAGTGCACAGATGCTATGATGCTACTTTTTTTTTCATCGTTTAGTGCATACAGCACACAGACACGATGATGCTATGAATCTTTTATCATCAGTCGTTAGTGCAGACGAGCCACACAGACACTATGATGCTATGAATACTTTTTTTCATCTCTCATTAGTGAGAAGCACACAGACACTATGATACTATTTGAGTACACAGACGTATATAGTATATATAGTATATAGTATGTGGTATATAGTAGTGTGAGATAGTGACACTATATGATATGAAATTCGTATGTGCTGTGTGACTTCGTGTACGATTAGGATTATAATGATGTAATAATAATATATTGGCGTGATTAGTAATGCTAGATAGTGAGATCAGATAGTGGCGTGATTTGATTATATATCGATATAACGATGTAATTTGTTAACAAATCTAATATCAATATCTAATAATAATAAGTTAATGTGGCTATGCTGCCATCACCTTGTTAGCAAAGACAGTACGCGCGAATACGTGTAGACAGACGTATACTAAATTCTATGAGACTTCGTGCAAGATAATGATAGCGAAATCAGATATTGGTGTGATTTATATATATATCGATATAACGACGTAATTATATGTCAGCAAAATAGAAATGGTAATAACAAAAGAATATATGTAACTTAATGATGATTTAATATCTACTCATAATAAGATAATTTGGTTGTGTGTAATCAACTTACTGTAGTACTCATCTACTGAAAGTCGAAGTCATTTTGCCTCACGTAGTTTAGAATGTGGAGGGTGGGGCTAGAAAAACGTTTGCTCGCTCGAAAGCAATTCTTGTAGTAACACGTTGGTTACAAACGTCAGAGAGGGTTATGTATAAGAACGTTCATATCATGTTTCTCTCTTTATATTACAGGAAAATTGCTCAGTCGAATACAGAAGGTAGCCTACGCCTTGCTCAACAAAACAGGCTCGAAGGGAGGAAGTCCGGTCAAAGTCGGTGATAGGGTGAGTCGACGGCCGGCGAGATATCGCCTCGATTAAAATCCGATTAAGATCTGTCGATCTATCTATGAATCTATTTCTGTTATCAGTCCTTCTTGATGCCTCTGAGTTAGTGGCGTTTTCTAGGACACTTGGATTTGGTGTAGAAGTCGACCTTTAGCAACGAGTGAAATCCTTCTCGCTATTGATTCATTTATCAGTCTATTTCTATCAATCTCTCTGACGCCCCTGAGTTAGTGATGTCCTTCTTGGACACTTGGACTTACCACACCTTCCTCCACGGGGAAAGTCCTCTCTATCGATCTATCTAATAATCTATTTCTGTCAGTCCTTCATGACGCCCCGAGCCAGCGGCTTCTGCGTGCATGCTACGTAAAGCCTAGCGCAGACCTGCGACTTTTGGTTGCTCGTCGCTGCAACCTGCAACCGCATGCGATCGGTCGCACGCTTCACCGTGTGTGCGCATGCAAGCGACAGCTGTTAACAGCAGTCGCTTCTTTTTGTTGTCTTTTTGTCTTTCCATTGTCTTTCCATGACTTATATTACCCACACACATGCGATTTCGAAGCGATTGCGAGCGACGAGTTGCTAAAAAAACCTGTTTGATTTCTTGCGACTCGTTGCAAGCGACCAGAATCGTTACGAGTTGCAGTTGCACGTTCCCGCAGACTTGCGACTTTTTCATGCAACTCGGCAGCCGAGTTGCATAAAAAAGTCGCTAGTCTGCGCGCATGTAACTGCCGAGGTCAGCAGAAGACATGTAGGGGCTGAATCAGTTTTACATCTACTGTGTTAGCACTGTTAGGTTTTGTTCTAGATATTTTCGATATTCTTTTTCTTTTTCTGGTAGATATGTATTTTTATTAGACTAATTATACAGTTAGTCATTTTTTTTCCACGTCATGTGTGCCCTTTGGGTCTACCTGTACATTTTGTGCGGACCTGAGAATGGTCATAATTAGTCTAATAAAAATACATATCTAGCAAATAAAGAATATCGAAAATATCTAGAACAAAACCTAACACAGTAGATGTAAAACTGATTCAGCACCTACATTTCTTCTGCTGACCTCGGCAGTTACAGCGCATGCTATGTAACACGGTTACGATGCGTTCGTCAGAGAGCGTGCATCGAGTGCAAGTTTGTTAATTCGTGAAAAATGTTTCTGCAATTGACAGATAAACCAAACCAGACTCCGAATGCATGTCAGTCTGTTATTAGTTTATGGTGTTTCAAGTTGCCACCTCTCCGCATCTGATATCAGTCTTTGGTGATTTTAATAATGGTCTTTTATTAAGTCATAATTAATCATAATTATTCGGGTATAATGGGATTATAATCAAATGCTTATATGTAGCGGTGTTATATTGTCTCTCGTTAATTAGCAACGACGTCTAATTTATAATTTCGTCGACAGGTGGCGCTCGTGTATCCGAACAACAACCCGATATCATTCGTGTGTGCCTTCTATGGATGCCTTACAGCCGGGGTGGTTCCCGTTCCGATCGAAGTTCCGCTGACTAGGAGGGTAAGAGCAGGGCCCTGGTAACAGCCCATCTCATTAACTCTGCGCGCACGCGCTCGTTGCTGTTGTCGTTCGTCGCTGTGGCTAGTGGTGCCACCTGGTGTTAGTTGGCGTGTTCGCTCGCCGTTAATGTGGCAGTCTGCGTGTACGTCTCACGACAGGATTCGTACGGAAAAAACCGCCCCGAAATGTCCCGTAATTTTGAATTTTTTTCATTTGGCTAACGTATCGTGGTCGTGGAAAACGGACATTTTTAAGCCCCCTGGAAAAAATACTTCTGGGAGACTTCTGTAAAAATGGTTTTTTAAGTCCCTGGGGAAAATGCTTCTGGAGGACTCTGTGAAATATGGTAATTTAAGTCCCTGATTGGAATAAAATTGTCTGGAGGACTCCTGTGGAAATAGTTTTTTAAGTCCCTGGGGAAATTGCTTCTGGAGGACTCCTGTGAAAATGGTTATTTAAGTCCCCTGGAAAAAATACTTCTGGAAGACTCCTGTGAAATGGTTTTGGTTTTGGAAAAATACTTCTGGGCGACTACTGTTAAAAAGTTTTTTTAAGTCCCTTGAAAAAATACTTCTGGGAGACTACTGTGAAAATGGTTTTTAAAGTCCCTGGGGAAAATACTTGTGGAAAACTTCCGTAAGATAAAGTTGATCCTTGGGTGTACGAGTCCTGCAAGAGCTCGATCGCTTTTGCTTTGTGTAGCGAACGGCTTGGCGTACGTACGTGTGTGTTACTTTTCTAGCTTGGATTGTTCACGAGTTTATGTTAGGCACGTTTTGTTTAGGGACAATCAATGTACTGTCTTGTAACGCAATGTCTGCGTTGACGTTGTTCACGTGTAGATAAGCACTGTGTCAGGGCTAGAGGTGGTTCATAGGTGGGAGCAGGAATGGTTAGCTCGGTAGAAATCATCTGAACTATGATGTTGTGAATAAACCTTAGGAGATATAAAAATTGAGATGAGATGTGTGTAATTCGAAGAAATTAAGAGCTAGTTCACTTTTTAGAAATCATTATCCGAACTATGGATGATGAAGAATATAATGAAGTGTCAATGACTGTAGCTTACCTTGGGGTGTGATAGAAGAGGAGAGCGGGTATATAGAGGTATATAGACATATCATCCATTATATACTCTGATAATGATATATGCCATAAGTTTTTGATGCGAAAATAAATGTGTTCAGATCTGAAAGTCTGAAATCTTGACGGAGGAGGCGCTACGCCTAAATGCATCGCCATTTTGGCTTTTCGAACTAATGTCCGCGCAAATAACAATAAAATATTCCAGTCAAATTACTGTAACGATAGAATCTAAACACAATATTTACAGATATTAGGTATGATTGTAGAGTTGTTAACCAGTTTAGCACGAAAATAACGTCAACGTAGGACGTTGTCATCTCTCCCCATAGGAGTAACAAACTGTTTTGGGGCTAGCGCTTACAATTCATTACCAAAATTTAACAAAATCAAGTCTACTGTAAATAATCTATAATCTATTTTTTTAACCCCAAAAAAAAATATCTATGACTGTCATGCCTTCTATTGCACCACAACAGACATGCAGGGGAGCACTGTGGAAGTTTTTACATTTTAGATGCCTTGTTTAATGAGCATGGATATGCAGTTTACGCGTGGACATCTCGCTTTTGATTGATTCCTGTGACACTGGTTTTTGTAAATCACGCATCGGCGGCATTGGCCTGTAACGGTTTGGCTGTGTTCGTGTTTGGTTTGGCTTGTTGAATAGTTTTAAGTTTGTTCACTGAGAGAATGAACGTCCGTAAATGGGTCCGGCCATCTGAGGGCCCAAAAAAGTTATTCAAGTCAGGGCAATTCAAATGTTTAGATTACGATTACGCATATTCAAACTAATTATTGTGAAAAGAGTTGCCGCGATTAGACTCTTCTACTAGAGGTTTTAGCCGCGCGATGCCCACCCGTTGTTCTTATCTGCGTGATGACTCGCGTGCGCTGCTGGCTGCCGCTGCTTGCCTGCTTGCTGTTGCTGGTGTGCTATGCTGCTGTGCTGCTGCTGTCTGCATGCCTACTGCTGTTGATTGTGCTGCTATTCTGCCTGCTGCTGCTGCTGGTACTGTGTTGCTGATACTGTTGTTGCTGGCTACTGCTGTTGCTGGCTATTGTTGCTGTTGTTACTGACTGCTGCTGCGTACTGCTTTGCTGCTGCTACTGCTGCTGCTGTTACTGTTTGATGCTGCTACTGCTTGCTTGCTGTTATGCTGTCTGTTGTTGTTTGTTGCTTGCCTGCTACTTGCTGTTGTTGTTGTGTTGTTGTTGTTGTGTTGTTTGCTTGCTGCTGCTATGCTGTTGACTACTGCTGCTGCTACTGCCTGATTGCTGCATTCTTGCTGGCTGCTACTGCTACTATTGCTGCTGCTGATACTGCAGCTGCTGCTGCTTGCTATGCTGTGAACCCTACTCGCACCGCTCTGGCGCATGTGCCGTTGACCTCGTTGTGGTCCTGCTGCCTGTGTGCCTCTGTGTGGCCGTGTGTGTGTGTGTTAATGTCTTGCTTTTGTTTGTACCTCCATGGTACATACAGGTCTGGCTTTACAGGACGCGCGGCTCGGAGCAGATCGGTTTTCCTGCTGGGCAGCTGCGGAATACAGGTGAGCGCTCAAGTCGAGGGTACCTTGGTTCTCAAGCGGCTGCCTAAGGCAAGCAAACGGACGACGTGGCCCGTCACCTTCAAAGGTAGAGGCCACAATTAAAAAATCTCTGTTTGACACTCACCCCGACCTAGGCTGAAAAAGTTTTTTTGGGGGGGTCTTTTATCAAATTCGTTTATGTTTGTCATGTCTGAATTGTTTGTTTTTACTTGGCACACTGTCATGGGCATTGGGCCACAGTTGTATATAATCATACAGTGACTTACATATGCAAAGCTAAATGTTAGTAACCAAAAAATGCGGAAAGATCAATAATTGGTTTTGAGTCACTTTTTTTAGTCTTTTTTTGCGGGTCTGGGCGGAGGGCTAACAACATATTTTTATTTATGGCCTAAAAAAGTTTTAGACACTATGCGGCCTGTCATGGACAGAATGCGTTGATGGTGTAGGGGGGGGGACCTTGTTGTCAGAAGAACATTAGTCGTACATCAGCTTTGAATTTTTAGAGCGTGGTCAAGCGGTAAGTAGCCTATACATATGTGTCGCGACAGACGTGCGATATGTCAGAAACAAATGAGTATTTGAAAAAATATTAGTCTCAATATTAAACCCTAGCATTGAGATTTTCCTTTTGAAGAGCGTGGTACACCACTATGCAGTACGTCGCCCGATGGACACATCGATCTATGGCTAGAAACTAATTAGTATGCAATGGGTTGAACAGTCCCATTGATATGCAGGGGCCGCTCGTTGTCAGAAAGATAATTAGTCCCAGTATTAGTCCTAAACGTGAACTTTTTCTTTTTAAGAGGTTGGCTAAAATTTTCGCAATGTGGGCAGTTTCTCAATGTCGTCTTAACATGCGAACTTTCGGCTTGAGATTAGTGGTGATATCGTGAGTAGTTACAGTTAAGATTATTTTGTGTTCGTTCACATTTCGTCGATACGATGCAACCGGCTTTACGTAAAATTCTCGGCAAGCAATGCGTAACTCGATCTAGCGTTACAGGCGGTGGCCCAAACTCTCGCTTGGTTTGTGACGAAACTTAGGCCAAGTTCGAAGGGATGGAAGGGAGTGGAAGATTGCAGGAAGACACACAGCATACATGGAGGGTAAGTCCTACTTGATAGATGCGACGTAACCTAATACATGCTTTCGGGAACTGGTTCCGGCATGGGCATTTGACAATATAATTTGAATTAATAAAATAAATTTAAAATATTAATTTAATGAGTATAATTACAATTAGCCAGCAGTTTTCGATTTGTGTACTCATGGTTCATTTACGTTTGGTCGCGCGCAAAACTGCACAGCGAACCCGTTGACCGATTCATCCCGTCACATATCCATCCCATCTTGCCAGACGTTAAGTGCCGGCGGCTTTTTTCTTTGGTTTGTTGAATACGGACTGACCAAATGAGCAACAAACACGACTAAGCACGCTCGCACCTCCGCGGCTGCCGATACGAGGGCCAGCACCTCGCCGCATGGCACAGCGGCGCCCTCGTCTCCTGCGCCGCTGCGCTCGGCTTGTTTTTCCGTTACACGACAGGCTCGAGGACGGCAGGTGTTTTTTTCCGGTTTTGCCGCTCTTGTGACCGAGCTTGCGCGCCTCGGCTGCGCGCAGTCAACACGAGGATCGAACATAATCTACCAGTGGCGCCTCCAACATCTGCTGAGTTTTTTTCCGAACACGTATTGCCGACAAAACCCTACACGGCTGCGTCGTTGCTTTTCTCAGTCATCTCTGCATATGCTGCGTCGTCGCTTGGTTTTTTCAGTCGTCTCTGCAATCGCTGCCACGCTCGTTGGTTTTTGCAGTCTTCTTTGCATCGCTGCGTCGCGTGTTTTTGCACGATACACGGACGGACAAGGCGGAGCGTGAAAGGGGTCACGGTGAGCGCGCCGCGGGGGGGGGGGATTTGGGGCTGTGTCACTGTAGCACGTGACGCGCCGCAAACGTACAGCAGAAGGGAGAGGTGATGTGGCCCGTGCTAGACTTCAAACGAGACGTCGGACTCTGGCACACTGTGATGACGGATACGGTGCGCCGGGATGCGCGGACGGCGGGCGGGCTCGCTACTATAGGAGGAGCGGTGTGTTGGTGGTTGTTATTGTATGGAGGTGCGGTCGGAGTAAGTGGTGGTGGAAACTACAGCTCGAGGGAGACCACAGGTAGATGGTGACAGTGACTATGACTTCAAACGAGGACGTCGGACATCTGGCACACTGCTGCTCCGGTAGGATGGCGCTGTGAGGCGGCATCGGGCGGCTGACCGGATGGGGGCATGGTACGGTGGCGCAGGTTTGCTCTTGCTCTCTATTCTCTCCCTCACCCTCCTCCCTCCCGTCCCTCCTTTCCTAACTGCATACTACTCTCGCTTGCTCTCTTGCCGTTGTGTTTTCCACGTTACAGAGGTGTACTTAATGCATGAACATCTGATTCCTCATGTACTCCCCCTCCCTCCCGATCCCTTCTCCTCCCTCCCCTCCCTCCCCTCCCTCTGCCTTCCTCACCTCCCTCTCCTCCCTCACTCCTCCCTCCCTCACTCCTCCCTTACCTCCCTCCCTCTCTCTCCCTCCCTCCCTCACTCCCTCCCCTCCTCCCTCTCTCACTTTCTCCCTCTTCTACCTCCTTCCTCCTACTCCCTCCATCACTACTTCCTCCTCCCTCACCTCCTCCCTCCTGTGCCTCCCTCACTTCCTCCTCACTCCCTCACTCCCTGCCCTCACTCCCGTCTCCCTCCTCCCTCCTCACTTCCTCTTCACTCCCTCCCTCCCTAATTACTTCCTCCCTCCCTCACTCCCTCTCTCCCACCCTACCTCCCTCCCTCCATCCCTCCCTGCTGCATACTATAACGTTGCTTTCTGTCTCTCTCTTCCAGAGCGTCTTGAACGGGATGCACACGATCTTTATTCCCTACGCACTAATGAAGATCAACCCGGCGTCGTGGATGCACATGGTGACCAAGTACAAGGCGTGCGTCGCGATCGTGAAGTCGCGCGACATGCACTGGGGTCTCCTCGCACAGAAGGACCACAAGGACGTGAACCTGAGCTCACTACGCATGCTGCTGGTAGCCGACGGAGCCAACCCATGTAAGTGTTAGTGACCCTGGAGAAATCCCTGTGTCAGTGTTAGCACCCCGTAAGGGTTACCGCACAGTAACAGCCGTCTAAGGTGTGTAATAGCTGATACGTGTGAGCGGCATGGTTTTGCCATCATCGGTATCGGTATGATGAGGTGTTCTTGGGTAATCTAAATTGTTGGTAATATTCTTGGTAACGAATTCTGCACCTGAGCTCACTACTCATGCTGCTGGTAGCCGACGGTGCCAACCCATGTAAGTGGGGAAATCCCAATGCTACCGTTAGACTCTGGAAAATCCCCTCTGTTAAAAGCTAGCACGTTGAAAAATTCCCATGCTAGTGTTAGCCCCCTCTAAATTGCTGACGGAGCCAACCCATGTAAGTGTTAGTGGCCTCGGAAAAATCCCAGTTTATTGTGTTAGTGCCCCTGGATATATCAATTTCTAAGTCACAAGCACCCTAGAAAAATCTTCATGTAAGTGCTACTGCTACCGCTACCACTGCTACTGCTATGACGCGCTACGCATACCGCTACCGCTACGACTACGCATACTACGACTACTACTACTACTACTACTGTTCTATCTGCTTACTGCCTACTGTTATGGCTAACTGCTTACTGCTAATGCCTACTGCTTTTATGCTACTACTACTACTAGCTACAGCAGGGCCCTAGCTAGGATTTTTTCTGTAGACCACTAAGCCAATTAGCCGAGATCAATTTTCATTTACGCCACATTTGGATATACCTGTTAGCACATCTGTGCCTAATTTTATAAACACAGGAAAAGGCCAATAAATAATTTTTCTTTTCTTTATTTTTTCACGATACTATTTATATGCAATGAGTACAAAACTACACTTATTTATGCAAACAAACCTATTATTCACACTGTCTATGCACTGAGGACACATAAACTATGAATCACACGATGACTCTGACTGCAACACTGACAGAGGACTCTCTATTGTTAATTCTTTTTTGGCACACATGCGACATAGCACTTTCAAAGCATCAAAGCATCTCGTCTCTGGG